TATGGAAAGTTGACGAACTTGTTAAACAAATGAATGAAGCAGATGTTAACGGGTCTAGGACGAACATAGAATTTTATATTATGAATTAATTTATAAAAATTTTAAATTACGAAAATCGTTGAATTCTAATAGAAGTATGAGCCTAGATGATGATGTTTATGAGCAAATCTTTTTTAATTATAGGGAAGATAGAGCACTCGGAAGCGGCATGTTGTCAGAATAACAAACGTTATATAACGGTAACAGTGTTATTCGAAATCATTATTAAATGATTAAGATATCCACAATGAACAAAATATATTGAACAAGGCTTTGATGAGGCAAAACGTGAGAGGAAGTTCCTCCAGTTTTGGTAATGATTTTATGGTGGAATTTGTTAGAACCAAATATATTGGCTGACGATAGATTTATTTACTCTATTAACTTTAGAATAATAACTATAATATTGTACTTGACATAAATACACATAATCAATATATAAACCTCTATGTCATGCATGAGAAAAGAGTACTTCATCTTCTTCCTCCTGTATTTATACTTGAGGAAAATCAGATTGTGTGGACTGTATATAGTTTCATCACAAATATCAGTCAACCATCATTTAATTATTATTTTTTTGATTTTTTATCCAAATCAAAAAGAATAAATTACTTATAGATGTCATCAGTAATAGATCTAAATATATATGTCATAAGCTAAAAAAAAAAATAAGACGAAGATTTTTTTTTTCTTTTTGGGGGAAAACAAGGCAGCATTTGTTTCGATAAAGCGTGTCTGAGGGCATGCATTCCGCCCTAGGAATGAAATTGCTAATCTGTTGACTTCCGTTCTTCAATTTCATTTCCCATTATTGACTCTCAACAATCGGCTTGGATATGATATTTTAAATTGAAGAGTGTAAAATTTGGTAAAATATATAAACGGTATCCCAATTATAGAGTATTATTTTATTAAGGCCCTTGACTATTAAAATATTTAAGATGGTCATCCCACTATAAACTGTTATTTTGTTAAGTCCCTCGACGATTTAAAATTACAAAATGATCACCTAACTATTTATTATGTCTCAAACTTGTTCTTTTCCGTTAAGAAATTAACGGTTGTCTAAGTTGGACGTAAACATGATGATTAGAATATGATAGTTGTTTCATATTCTGGGATCAGAATTTATCATATCACAGTCAGCAGATTAACGTTAAGCTCAAAATATTGTCAATTTTTAACGAAAAATGGTGAGCTTTAAAACATAATAAATAATCAGGTGATCATTTTGTTTTTGAATAAAATTGTGATTTTTTTTTATTATTTTGGATTTAGTCGGAATAAATTTTGAGTTTGGTTAAATTAGAATATAAATCTTATGCATTCGAGTTAGTACAAATTGATCATAACATATCCTTCCCTATTCAATAATATTTTTTATTTGTAAAATTAGAAAACCATAAATTATATTATTATTTTCAATATTGAAAGCATTTCATTGACTCCATTTGAGGAATTTTCAAATATCCAAACTTTTTTAAATATTGAGGATACAAAACCCTGGACCCTCGTCCTTAATACTCATATTTAAAAATATATTGGATACAAATTTTTAAAATAGAAATATTAAATTAACATATTTAAATATTGGGTTAACTTAGTATCTCATAAAAACATAACCATCCATCCACCTACGACTGCCAAAACCATCCGAGTTCAAATCTCCGAGTGTATGGCGCTCGTAACTTTCGTTTTGCTCCATCCCGAATTGAGACAGACTGTACCGGAATCATCGGTGAAATGCAGAGTGTATTGGCCACCAGCAAGTGTACTAACAGAGCCCTTTGAACTAAGGTCATGGAAGTCCGCAAGTGCTATAGTATTTAGGCAAGTCATGGAAAAGGATCACTGATTTAAGCTGATCATCACTTAGATTGGACAATGAGGGCTTCTTAAGAGCCTTGAACGCGTCGTCTTTCGTTACGAAAATCGTAATTTCTCAATTGGCGTCGTTGGCTTGGTTTTGGAATGTGTTGATGAGTTTAGTCGATTCAAGGTAGTTAAGGAAAGTCCAATATGGACCGGCCACAGAGAGTAAGTAGGCTACGTGTACGTATGCCGGTCCGGGTGCCGGAGCCGGTGTCGGGGTCATCGCTGCTGGACGACTCGAAACTTGACCATATGCCAATGAGGAGCACAGAAGCATTACAGAACTGATCATAAAAATCGCGGAAAACTCCATTCAGGCTTTGCTTCAAACACCTACAAGAATAAACTCTGGGGAATTATTACATTGCAGATAATCGAAGACAAAGCAATATCCAAATGTGAGGATACGAAACATAAACTATCGCTTGTTATTGTGTTAATTAGATCAAGGATTTAAATAGCAGTCTGATAACGGAATAACATTGATGACAATAACATTTGTTATATTTGCAATCGCGATAAATACAATATAATCTAAAATACCTAGCAACCGTAATTTAAATCTCTGATTCAGACAACATATAAACATACAAAATCAACTAGACCAAAATCTCAGATAAAATATCTGATTTTCATAGCATCTTGGCTTTACATCAACAGATTTAATGCAATTTTTTTTAGTTTATTAACAACGCATGCGTATATGTAAATATAGTACTTCAAATCTAAATTCTCATAAAAATAATATTTCATTTTACCATTAACATCATTCAATAAATTTTATACACGAAAGAAAATGAGTCATTTGAACTCCAAGTAAGGCAAATCTTAATACAAAAATGCAAGTGAAAGACACCAACCTGGTTAGGAGGAGTTTAGAGAGAAAATTTAGGAGCTGTGGACACCCGTATAGCAGCATATATATATATATATAATTCTGGATTATTAAAAAATAAATAAATAGCTGTTGGATATTAAAAGGATGCGAAGTATAAGGCAAAAAGTAGGAGCAAGAAATTATAAAATAGATACAACTGAAAAGCAAGTTTGGATTACATATTGTATATTGTTGTTTTCCTTTAGGGTAAATTACACATTTAGCGCCTAAAATAACAATTTTGATCCATTTTAATACTTAAACTTTCAATTTTTTCAAAATCATACATAATGTTTAGTTTTCATTTCATTTTAATACCCTACCGTTAAAACTTTAACGCATTTAGTACCCAATCTATCAATTTTGATCCATTTTAATACCTAAACTTTCAAAAAAAATTCAAAATTTAACGTTAGATTTTGAAGGGGTTAACTAAAATGAAACAAAAACTAAAGTTGTTAACGGTGGGATACTAAAATGAAATAAAAACTAAATTTTAAATCTAGATCTAAATATTTGATGGTTGGGGGATAGTCGACATGTGATTGGATTATCTTCGACAACATAATTGATTTTGGGATTAGAGATTTTTAAAATAATTAAAAAAATTAGAGTTTTTTTAAAAAATAAAAAAGATCATTCAACCATACTAAAATAAGAAAAAAATAATTATCAACAGGGTTGTTTAAGTGGTGAGTAAGTTGATATCCTTTAAATAAGTTTCGAGTTAAATGTACGATATGAATCAATTCAGATTAATCAAGATAAAATCCTGAAAACATAAAGGACATCAAATTATAAGAAACATCATTCAAAAATAGTAAAATAATTTTGAAATTCTTTCATATAATGACTCTTTTTTCCTCACAAAAATTTATAGACCAATTTAGAAAATATCATTTTTCACCAAACCACTGAATTTATCGAAAGGCATTGGAACGTTATTTTGAGTTTTGAATTGCGAAATAAAGGAAATGGAGTCCAAAATGGATGTTCTAATACCCAAAAGTTAAATTTGTGGAGTGTACTCCATTAACATTCTAAGCCCAAACACACTGCTAGAACTCCTATTTACACACATAAATGTAAGGCTTAATATAAAAATAATAATAAACTACACATTTAGTACTTAAACTATCAGTTTTGGTTTATTTTGATATTTAATTTTTTTAATTTTTTTTAAAATCATACTTAATATTTAGTTTTTGTTCCGTATTAGTACCCCATTGTTAAAAAATTAATACATTTAGTACCCAAACTATCAATTTTGATCCATTTGAATACCTAAACTTCCAATTTTTTTTTCAAAACTTAACATTAAATTTTTAACAAGGGTACTAAAATGAAAAAACTAAATTTTAGGTATGATTTTGAAAAATTAAAAGTTTATATACTAAAATGGACTAAAACCAATAGTTTAGATACTAAACGTGCAAATTATCCTAAAAATAAATGTCTAAACTATACTCAAAATTAATTTTTTTGGTATCTAAAGATTTTTTTTGTGTCTAATTTTTTTTTTATTAAAAATAGGTGCATAATATTTTCTCTGTTATATTTTAGATGCCTATTGTTTAAAAAAATCGTTAAATAACACGTCTTAGGTTTAGAATTTTTTAAAATATTCTTAAATAATATTTTATTTTAAAAACTAAAAACATCATACATATTATCTAATATTTTTATTTAACAATAAACACCTAAAACTATAAAAAAATATTAAACACTTATTTTTAATAAAAAAATATTTAAACACAAAAAATATAAACTGCCACACGTGTTATTTAAGCACTTATTTTTTATTAAGCTTACATATAAAGTTGGAAAGATAATTCAAACCCCTACAGTCCCCAACTCTGTTACCGCCACACGGAGTTGCCAGTTTTTTCAATCTAACGGACGGCTGGGCAGCCGGAGCTTTCGCCATTCCTCTTTTTTATTTTCTCTCTATCATATCAGGTAAGAAGAATAAGATCCTTTGATTTAAGATTGAAACGAATGGAACGGATTGAATGATTGATTTATAGATAATCAAAGTTCACTAATTTTCTTTTTTGCTCTATATTGAAAAAGGATTTTATCTCCTCTTTCTAGATTATTAGGTCATGTTTCACTCTCGGGTCTCAATGTTTCGATTCCTTCATTTTTCCTTCATTATTTTGATTGAAACTCTTAGTTTTTTAGCGCTTAATTTGAATTATAGGCTCATTTGCGCTCTCTGAATCTGCTTCTTCAACTATTCTGCTGCATTCCATTCAAGATTTTTCAAGTATTTGTTGAGAGATCGCAAACAATGTTGCAATGGATGGGGGATCAAGACGGAAAGTCTTAATTGTAAGCCTCACATAATCTGAATTTCACTTTTTGATTAGACTCTCTCAGATGTTTTTACCTGGTGCTTTTTTGCTGAACTTATTTTACATGTTAGGGTCTGTTTGTTTCCCGTAATTGGAATTACGGAATTGGTTTTCCCCGAATTCCCGTGTTTGTTTTACGTAATTCGTTTTCCGGAAAATGTTTTCCCGTGTTTGTTTCACGTAATTCGTTTTCCGGAAAACGTTTTCCCGTTTTTGTTTCACGTAATTCGTTTTCCAGAATGTAATTCATTTTCCTAGTAACAGAATTTCCTTTGTGTTTTCTGTAAAATGACTTACGGATTCATTTTCCGTAAGTCATTTTTCAAACTTTTCACTTCAAAGCAAAAATACTCAAAATAATTTTATTTTATGAATTTAATATTAATAAAATATTTTAATATCATTTTCATCAAAATATTAATTATTAAAATATTTAAAATATATTTATTAATATTTATAATAATATAATATTATATTTTAATATTATAAAATAATCATTATATTATAATATATTATTATTTTTATTTTAATAATATATAATAAATTTTTTTTATATTTAATAATGAATAATATTATTATATATTTCAATAATATTTTAGTAAAGATATTAAAATATACTAATTAATATTTTTAAAATATAATATAGTACTATTACTTAAATAAATAATTAATATAATTTATAAAATTTTATTTCACTAAAATATACCGAAAAAATGTTTAAATAACATCTTCCAAACATCATAAAACGTTTTCCAGATGTTTTCAAGAAATGTAATTCATTTTCCAGAAATGTAATTCATTTTACAGAAATGTAATTCATTTTCCAGAATTCAAATTCCAGTAATTCATTTTCCAGTAATTCAAATTCCAATAATTTAAATTCCAGTAATTCATTTTCTGAAAAACCAATTACAGCTAAACAAACAGACCCTTAATTTCTACTACTCACTCGTCTCTCCCACAACATTTCACTACCACTTTCCTGTTTCTCTCTCTCTCTCCCTCCCTCCCTCCCTCCCTCTCCCTCCCTCCCTCTCTCTCCCTCTCTCCCTCTCCCTCCCTCCCTCTCCCTCTCCCTCTCCCTCCTCCCTCTCTCTCCCCCCCTCTCCCTGCCTCCCTCCCCCCCCTCCCCCTCCCCCTCTCCCTCCCTCCCCCCCTCCCTCCCTCCCTCTATGTATGTATGTATTATTCTGCCACATTTGTATTTTAACATAGCAGTAAACATACTACACCACAACATTGGTAATTAGGTATCTCCAAATCATGCACAATATTTGTTCTCACATAACACTTTTGTGCATGCCGTGTCCTGTTTCTCCACAACTTCAGTCAAGGAGATCTACACTGAACAGGTACACAACCTTATTCTTTTTTTCTTTTATTTGTTACTCATCAATCGTTCCTCTACCCTGTCAAGCACTGCAACATGAATTCCGATAAACCACGTCCTACTTTTGTGGAAATTATTTTCTATTTGATGCTTTCTTCTTTTTTCTTGTTAATGTCAAGGCAAAAACAATACTTTGAACAAAGGAAACAAAAAGAAAAGGCAGCAGTTTCTGAGGGCCATATTGATGAAACTACCATAACTGGACGACATCAAAAGGAATGTCAATCTCTGGATATCCTCAACTTGCTCGACCTCTCAACTGTTTCTGCTGAAGGTAAGTGTTATCCCAGCAGTAAGTTCTTTAAATTTCTTTTTCTGGATAACTAATTTATGCAACACAAATGAGACCACTTGAAATGTCAAGCTGATAATTGATATTGGTCTGTGCATCCGTGACCTCCATACTTTGCTCTTTTACAGAAATGTAGCAATATTTTTGTTTCTCTTGAAATTATCTTCAATCATATTTTCCTGCCCTCATCACCCTTTCATTTGTCAGGGGTATGTTTTCATTCACTGCAGGGATTCAAATGGCGGCCCGATAGCAGTATCGCGGCCGCTAAACCGTCAAATGCCAGTGCTGAACAAATACCGCACCAATAGTGGCCGCAAAAATGCTATAATGAAATAGCGGCAACAGCGCACAACTATTCCATGTTATCATCGATTTTTTTTCATATAAAAAAGTTATTAAAATTGTTTTTATAATTATAATTGTTATATTTTACAATGAGTTGTGAGAACTAGAAAAAAATTCACGATCATGACCACATTGACCAAGGTAGGATAAACACGACGCAGTCGGAAATACAACCACAAACTCAATTTAAATCCCTGAATTTTAGTGCTTTATTCGATATCAAACTTAGTTGATATGCATGTTTGCCTGCTAATGCATCATGTGCAAAATTGAAACGATATGCTAATGTGTATTTACCGGGGGAATTGTATCTAACTCAATATTTATAGGCACATGAATTGCCTCACTAGAGATCACTACTTTTTGATACATTGATGATGCAATGCTTTTATGCTACTGTTCAGATTTTGACCGACCTTTATTTGCCCCCTTTTGTATTCTATGTTTGCAATCAAGTAGGGAGTCATGGTAAGTTTGGTGCTTTGACATTGATGTATCAAATACCAAAGGATCCAGCAATAATCGTTTCAAGTTCAGTCCCCCCTTCTTCTTCTCTTAAAACCAAGGAAGCAGGTATCCATTAATATTACTGTGCATAACTTTGTGAACTAAGGTGTGACTTCTTTTAGATTCATGGTGTTTATAGTGCAAAATACAATTTGATGGTGCAGGTGCAGGTGCTCCACCATCAAGCTGCCAAGGGAAGTTGCAATACTCGAAGTAGGTCATTACTTTATGTCACCTTGCTGGCGCTTAGATTTCTCGTTTTTGTAACTAAAAATATCCTCTACTTCACATAATCACATCTCATTTTTTATTTAGATAGTTCTTGGCAGAGACACCCCCAAAAAATCAAGCATTGTGTTACAGTTGGAGGAGATGAGCGGGATGAGAACGATGATTGTGAAGAAAGCGAAAGAATTGGGGAAAGAAGAAGCTTAGGGTTAGGGATTGAGGATGGAGAATTGGGAATCAAGGTGAGAGAAGGAATGGAAAGAAGGGAATTAGGGATTGAAACTGAAGAAGAGGAAATGATGCATTTACCCTCTGAAGTGGAGCGTGCTGTTGAACCGACTCAGAAGAAATTGGATCTAGTGGAGTTTCAGACCCAAGTCAAATGGAAGCAACCCAAGATTGGTGGCCTAGTAACATGAAAGAGGCATATAAGATTAGTTTGTTATAACTGTTATAGATGTAATGCCAGCAGGCATGTTTTACAATTTACTTTTCTAGCCCTGTAACTAAATAAGATTGGCTGAGAGCTTGGTTTTAAAAAGTGTAAAGCGCCTAGGGTCCTAGACGCCGAAGCGCTAAGCGCTAAGCGAAAGCGCTCGCTTTATGCACAAGAAGTGCCAGAAAGGCCGAAATTCACAAAAAAATACAAAATATTTATAAATTATCTTATAAATACTTAAATATCAAAGTGTCAATACATATATTCAAAACTTATAAGTACTTAAACACCAAAATATAATTCTCAATATACTTATAACTTATAAGTTATAAATACTTAAATACTTATATACGATTAACCATACGACTATATGAGCATACTAATCTCAAAAGATGGTCTATACTAAAAGTAGTCTAAAGTGAGATGAACAAAAGTATTTTTCTAAACCCTCAACTCCTTATAACTAAAAATCCTCTAAATCGTCATCGTCATCAACTCGGACAACACCATCTTCTTCATCACTAGACACTCCAATATCTTCTTCCATCTCATCTTCATCAACTAAGCATCTACAAGATGGTCTACTAGAGATAGGATTATGAGTAGGAGATTTTCCTTTATCATTTCTCGATGGTCCGGCTCCATCATTCACTACTTTTGATGCTCTAGTTAGATAACTAGGCTCATATGCACTGGAAGCGTTAGCAACATCACTCTATGTCAAATCCTCACCAGCAAACACCGCCTCATCATCATCTTCATCTTCTTCCATTCTTCCCATCAACCACTCATTGCTCTCATCAATATCTTGCAAAAGAATGGGATCGGTCTCCTTACTTTTAGCTCGGCACTCCAAGGCATGATTGAATTTCACAAACACCATGTCATTCAATCTAGATTGTGCCAATCTATTTCGTTTCTTAGTGTGAAACTACAAGAAAAAAAAACCAAAACTGATAATTTAATAGCCCGCTAAACCCTAAATAAGCCCAAAAATTGTATCTGCTAAAGCCCAGAATCGTATCTTCTAAACTCGAAATTAAGCGCCGATTAGCGCTTTGCTAAAAGCGCTGCAAAAGCGCCGATTACTACCGCTTAATGAATTCGTAGTGCTTTTGCTATGCTGAAGCGCCAGGGGCCTCGCTCGAGTCGCTTAGCGCTTTAATCGCGCTTAAGCGGCGCTTTTTTAAACTAAGGCTGAGAGGCATTTGATTCCTCAGATTATGAATGAAGTGTTTTCTTATTCTCTAAAATCCTTTCTTTTCTATTTCCTCATTCTCGCTTTCTTCTATAATTCTCTTGAACTATAACAATTTGGTATCGAGAGCCTCGGTTTCTGGCAAGTTTGGTAGCATGCCCAAGAAAAATCAGAACATGGCAGAAGATTTAGCTGAGTTGTAGAAACAGACGGAAGAATTGACAACACTAGTGAAACAAGGACAAGATGAGTCTAATCCACCTAAATAGTGGGAGACTCAGGAATAGAGGATTTCTACACTGGAGTCTAGATTGGCTACGAATCACGGATATGTGGAGGAAATCTTGAAGATTCTGACTGGTAGAAAGGAGGATCAAAACCAGTCTGCTGGGGATCAGGTACAGACTCCTAACTTATCCAATATGAGTAGTAAACAACCTGTTAAGGTGACAGTGATTAATGATAAGACTAGGTTTACTTATAAACCTGAGGAGCCTGGAATTCTTAAGTCTAAACCAGGGGATTTGCCTGTTCATGTGGATAGCTGTAAAAATGACAATCTAATGGGGGAGAACAGTGCTATTAGAAATCAATTATTAGCAGTAGAGGTGGATAGAAGAGGTACTGGGGGGTCTTCCAATATGTCAGGGGTAATGTGGCATAGACAAAAAATTGAGCTGCCAATTTTTGAAGGATTTAATCCAAGGGGATGGCTACAAAAATGTCTGAAATATTTTTCTCTTTGTAATATTGCTGATGAGTAAAGAGTTGAGGTGGCTACAATGTATTTAGCAGGTAAGGCTAAAATTTGGTTTGATGGTTACATTATGCAAAAATATCATGTTACTTGGCATGAGTTTGAGGCAGACATATGTTATAGGTTAAGTGATAGATTTTTTTGTTGATATAGCAGAGGAGTTTACAAAGTTAGTTCAAAAGGGGATTGTGGAAGAATATCATGATAGATTTGAGGAATTACAACCACAAATGTTACTTCAAAACCCTACATTAGGGGAAGAATTTTTTGTTTCTCTGTTTATTAGTGGGTTAAGGGAGGATATTGGAACCTAAGTCACTTTCTGAGGCATGTAGGCAAGCTAAGTTATATGAGTTGTCTATGGATTTTGAAAGAAAAAGATTGAGATCAGCCTTCAGAAGTTCACCCTATCCAAATCCTACATCTACTCTAAAGCCAAATCAGCTACCAGTTCAGCAGAAAAATTCAGCTAATCCATCACCAAAGCAGAATTTAATAGATTACAGAAGACAAAACAATTTATGCTTTAAATGTGGGGATAAATTTGTTCCATGTCGTTAATGCAAAATGAAGCAATTGAACATGATGATGGAGGATGACACTGTTTTACCCTAAAAAAATTCACCAGCAAATTCTGAGCAAACAATTATGCAAGAAGAAGATAGCCTAGAAATATCAATAAATGCTATTAATGGATGTATTGATCATAATACATTGAGGATACAAGGAACAATTCAAGGGAGACCACTTAGTATATTGATTGACAGTGGTAGTACCCACAGTTTTTTAACACCTTAGTGGGTTGATGCTGGGAAACAGGTTATGACTCCCTATCCTTTGGCCATTACAATAGCTAATGGACAACAACTTTTGTAACACCCATAACCCGTATAATTATACCTATACAGATTATAGATATTATCCGAATTTCTAAAACCATTTTACGATTCAAAAGTGATTTAAAATTTATTTTCTTAAAATAGTAAATGATATTATAAAAATATCATATCATATAAAATTACGTTTCGTTATAACAATTTAATTCAAAATATTTTTATTTATGAATAGTGAATAGTACCCGAACAGTGAACAGTGGGGAAATCGATTCCTTGTAGCAGGGGAATCGGTACCCCTTTAACAATCTGGAAATTTTGTTTAAAACGTGGTTACTGTTCATGCTACAGTACTGCTACAGTAATTTCCGAAACTTACATATTAACTTATAAAAACTTAACATTTCCTCACTATAAAAATTCTATTTTTGTTTCCAACTATATTTAACAAAATAAATTGAATATTATTAATTACATGCCACTATGTATTTCAAAATTTCACAATAGGATGTCTTACTGATATTGAAATATACTCCCCGATGCTCGATGTCACTTTGAACTCTTTATTCCATTACAGGCTTTTTACCTACACGTGAAATCATCACACGCTAAGTATAAACTTAGTGAGGCAATTAAAACATTTAACAGTGCAATACAATTCATGCATGATTTTCAATATCAAAAATCAAATTTCCACAAAATCATTTTACTAACATATACAATATGTTACCATGATCAAAATAATATAAAATCTCTTACCATTTATCCCATAAGCTCGTAAGCTTATTTTACCAAAATACTTACCATTTAAATTCCACAAGCTCGTAAGCTTATTTTTTCTATATACTTGCCATTATTCCGTAAGCTCATAAGCTTATTTGCATGGTTACCATTTATTAACCAATAAAACATAATCCATAGCCAATAGCCCAATATTAAACCTTGAGGACTCTGGGTATTTGAGTAATATTTGCACCGTAGTGCTACACATAAGGTCGTGCCCGCCATATACACCGAAGTGTATTACACATAAGGTCGTGCCCACCATATACACCGAAGTGTATTACACATAAGGTCGTGCCCACCATATACATCGAAATGTATTATAAACCTGCAGCTGTTATACTCTATGGCATGCCAACTATACCCTGTCCCTCAATGACTTATTTGGGCATATAGTCTACTTTATTCGATCCATCCATGGCAAAGTATATTATCAAATTTAACATTGGGCAGTTCATACCCGAAAACATTCATGGTAAAATATCACATTTTTCATGATCAATGCATTTTAATTTCATACTCTGACATATCAATGTCAATTTATAAAAAATGATATAAAATCATGCCGATATAACCAAGGTCGACTTATCGCAAGTCTTCCTTATGATGTATAAAACATCAACGTATAATTTCATGCATGTATTGCACTCACCTTGACACTTTATGTCTTTCAAAATATATAAGCCTCACTATTGTCCACCATAAGCCTTTTTATATTTGATTTGATTCGATTACAAATCAATCACAATCTGTATAAATCATCAATTCATAACGATACATATGTTAGTATTGTACTAATATAAACATATCCCATAATAACTCCATAATATATTTGAAACTCATTATCTATCAAAATATTTATCTCTTAATAATTCCTTTAACATTGGAATCAATTTTTCCAATTTACACAAAATGGTGTTTCACCATTTTATCACTTAGATTCTTAATATAAAAAATTTCAGCATTGAAATTACT